AACACCAAGACATATTATAAAATTTCATAAATTGGCTATGCACAAAAATTTGCTTACAAAAACAAGTTATCAGTATACACTTATCGTAAAATAGATCCTTAATCGTAAAATATATAATGTTCTTGACAGTCAACCACCAAATAAAATGTGGTTGTTATTCATAATAACAATAATATAAACTTAAATTATAAGTATATAAATTTGCCAAACCTTAGGCGTAATCACACATGCCATAAAAACAGTATCCACCCGTCATACACTTACTGTTGCAATATCCACAATGCCTCTTATCAAAAGACAAATTCACACATTCACCTCTGCAACAAGTCTCTGTAAACCGACATTTCTTTTTACAGGCGCCGCAGTTATGATCGTCGTACTTTAAATCAACACATTTATTATTACAACAAGTTGAGTTTCCTCCCTCTACTTCAAAAGCGCGACAAATTTCATTGTCCTTGTGGCAATGATCAGCTGCTCTTGGATTCTTTGATTTTTGTTCAACAAGAAAACGACTCACTTTCCTCTTGATCAATGGAGGGAGAATTGAGAGATTTTCCTTCGATTTTTCGAATTTTTCGACACGTTGAGTGGTAAGTATAGCAATGGTGAATGCCATGAAAATGGCAAGAGGAATCAAGATTTTCATCATCTTCATTTTTTGAGAAGGTGAAAGGTAGGTTAAAGTATTCGATTTTGTTAAATTTTATTGAGGGGATAAGAAAGAAGAATGAAAATGTTTAACTTGGTGATAGGTTGAAGAAGAATTGAATGGTTTTATACTTGAGTTTAAGTTATGCGACAGTTGAAAATTTTAATCCTAAAGTTATAGGTAAATTGTTATTTAAACTTGAACAACGCGTTAATATGAAAAGTAATTTGGAAAGTGTTTTATAAATCCAATAATTTAAAAATAATATAAATCTAAAAGTCAATACCTTATACCATAAACATCCTAGTATTTGTTTAAAGAGATTCATTTGGTGTTCATTTCCTATAGGATATCTTCATAAGCAATTTTAATTTGTGTTTTCCATTGTAGAAGTCAAATGTTTAATTTCTTTTTGTACATTGGTGATTTTTAGGCTAAGACATGGTTGTCACTGTTCATTATTGATCTTGTCAAGTTAAAACAAGCACAAGACTAAGCAAAGATAGAGTTCATTTTTATGAATAAAATTCACAAATTGTTAAATTGTATTTTCAACCTTTCAATTTACAGCTTGTTTGGATGGTTGTTACCCATTGTATTGTATCGTATTGTTACGTTAAATACGATATTTATTTTGATTGTTACTTAAATTTTATTGTATCATATCGTTAAATCTGCCATTACGTAACGACAAAATGTGTCACTTTATGTAACGACCGATTTAGTGTGGTCGCGTCGTTACATTGTCTTTTTCTCTCAATCTCACCCTTCATTATTATTATTAAATAATTTATTTTATCATTTACCATACCTTTTTATATAATAATTTTACCCTGTATCATAATTTTTTTTATATAATATTGCAAGTTTATTCTTCATATTGCTGGTGCATGGTATCATGAAACGATGGCAAACGACACAATCTATCCAAACATTGTATTTATCAGACGATACAGTACAATACAATAGAATATAGTACGATACGATACATTATGAAACGATACGTAACAACCATCCAAACAAGTTGTTAAAAGAAAATAGTCAAACCCTAATAAGGTAAGAGATATAACTTTGAAGATCTCTCTCCAGGCTTGACTTCATAGTGCATTAGTGCTAATCTTCCCCAAGGTTTGCACTATTACACTAACCCTTCTTATTTTGATTAAATTTCTCCTTAATAATTCTTTTAAAAATATTTATTTGTCCCTTCGAATATTGTTGTTTGATCCAAAAATAGTTTCAGAATAAAATAGCTGAATTTATATTTAAGAAGATCACTAACAATCGGTTCAAATCAGAGCTCAGTTGAGTGATACGTCTGGTTTTAGACTTAATAAGCAATAAATGACAGTAATAATACAAATAAAGTAAATGAGCAAAGGAACAAAATAATCTTATTAAGATGCAAAGGAGGCGAAGATGAGTTTTGGTGCGGTTAAAGAGTATAAATAAATAAATTAAAAAAGTTTAGGTGCGGCAATTTTCTAGCAAGCAAAGGTAATATTGAAACTAGGGGATTTCTCTTTTGGGATAATGTAAAAATTTAGCAGTAGAGTCTTTGTTCACAGAAACAACAACAACAAAAAAAAAAAAAAAAAAGGTTTGTTTTACTTCTGTAACAATCAAATTTGCACAAATAGAAAACAAAAGTTATTAAAGAACAGTTCGGTGCACAAGGTATCCGTATTAAACGCAAGATTCGGGAAAGGATCGCACTTAAGGGTGTGATATAAACAGCCTACCCTAATGCAAGCATTAAATGCTTTTACGGCTCGAACCCCTGACCTATTGATCACACTAAGACAATTTTACAGTTGCTCCAAGGTTTCCTTCGGTAGGCAACGGCGGACCTATGCTTGGAGAAAGGGGTTTTACCAGATCACGTTAACTTCTTCAATAATTCTGAATATATAAGTATACATATGTTAAAAACGATCATATATTTTGCTTGGTACCGGCCTTAAGATCAAAAGTCCAATGGGGCATGCTTGGTGCTCTTTAATTTCTTCTAAACAGTTCTTTTAAACTATTTATTATTAATACTAGCTAATTAGAATTTGATCATCAATTTGTCCATTGTAATATTGCACCCTTTAGTTAATTAATTGTACAAAAATATCTTTTCTAAAGAATTCCTTAAGACCCAATTTGCAAAGGAGGCGAAGATGAGTTTAGGTGCAGTAAAAGAATACAAAATAAATAAATTTAAAAAGTTTAGGTGCGGCAATTTTCTAGCAAGCAAAGGTAATGTTGAAACTAGGGGATTTCTCTTTTGGGATAACGTTAAAAGTTAGCAGTAGTGTCTTTGTTCACAGAAAACCTCCCCCC